CCCTCCCGCTCCTGCCTCCCCCTTCCCTGCCCTACCTGCTTCCACCCTGCCTCCCCTCGCACCCCTGCCTCCCCTCCCCTGCCTGCTTCCACCCTGCCTCCCCTCCCGCTCCTGCCTCCCCCTTCCCTGCCCTGCCTGCTTCCACCCTGCCACCCCCCTCTCCTGCCTACTTCCTCCCCTGCCTGCTTCCACCCCTGCCTCCCATCAGTCCCATCTCTGCATCCACCCTGCCTCCCCCCACGTCATGCCTCCTCCCCCAGCGTCTCTCTCTCCTCCCTCCCTGCCGGCCTCTGCCTCACCTGGGGGCACGTAGCCCCCTCCAACGGCCCTGCCATTGGCTGGCGGGCACGTGAGCCCACCTGGCAGCGCCCTGTCTGATTGGCAGCCCGCCGGCCCCTCCTCCCGATATAAGGGCCCCGCCCCAGGGCGGTGGAAATCAGAGCGCGGCGCAGAGCAGGTCGCGTCCGAGCGCTGCCAGCAGGGCTTTCCCCCCATAGCAACCGTTTCCTCCAGGCACGGCGGCGTGACGTCGGCAGCGCTTCCGCCCGGCTCGCGCCTCTCTCTCGCTCCTTCCTGTTCCCGCGCCTCGCCCAGCAGCAGCACCGAGTGAGGCAGCCGCTCCCCGGACTCCGAGCCCCGCCGAGACCATGGTGAGAATCCGGGCAGCGCCCGCTGGGGGACCCGGGCTGTGCACTGGCTACCCACCTTCCTCATGAGCGACAGCACCGTCCGCCGTATCCCGGCCCCTTCCATCGCTTCTTCCCACCTCCCCCCCCACTCGCCGATGGTACCGCCCGCCACGGAGCCTGGGGCGATGGAGCCTTCCGCTCCCTGGCTCGGCGACCCCCTCCTCAGCCGATGGTACCTCCCTCCCCCCTTTATACGCGCTGGCGCCGGCGCGTCCATCGCGGCCGGCTGGGGGTGGGGGGCGCGCGCAGCGTCATCTCCCTGCCGCTCCGCGTGGCTCCTCAGGCTTCCATCCTCCCCTCGTCGTAGGGCGTGTCCCCTCCGAGGCGCTGCGGCTGGGCCCAGCCCTTCCCGCCTGGCCGGGAGGGGCGGGGAGCTGGCGGGCGCCCCCCGGGGGTGAGGCGGAGCGGCGGCCTGGCCCGGTGCAGCCCTGCGCCGCCCCCCCCCCGCCGTTGGTTGTGGCTGGGTACCGGGGGGGGCAGAGAGGGCGGCGGCCTGGGAGAGGAGGGGCGGGGGGAAGAGGGAGCCGGAGGTGTCACTGCCCCCCCGTGTCCTCCCCCCACCCCCCCTGCGCGCGCTTCTCCCGGTCCCGCGCGATGGCTCCCCCTGTGCGGACGGGACCTGCCCCGGCAGCACGTGGGGACGCGGCCGGAGCCGTTCCCGGGGTGGGGGCAGGGGAGATGTTCACCCTTCGGTTGGTGGCGGGCTGCGCTGGCCGGGCTGCCCCCCCTCCCGGGGCAGGGTCGGTGTCTGTGCCCCGGGCACCTCGCTGCGGGGACACTGACTCCAGGCTAACATCTGGTGGGTAAGGCGTTGGCACGGGTCGTTTGCGCATTGACAGCTGGGACGTCTCCAGGCCCTCTCAGACAAGGGCTGACTTGGGAGGAATCCAGGGGCTTATTTGCTTTCAGCCGTCTCCTCCTGTACATGTGAAAACTTGACTTCAGGGTTTGGTTTTCCCGTGAGAGTAACGTTCATTGCCCAATGTTAAACTTATACAACTTAATTTTGAAACTTTTAAACTCTGTAGGCAAAAATCTAATCACCTGTTATGAGGGGGGGGGGGTTCATGAATACCCTACTTGTCAGGTTTAAAAAAAACAACCCCTTTGCTACCCATGTAATTAGCTATGCAGAATTTAAGAAGGAATTAAACTTAAAAAAGTTTCTAGGCTGTGACTTTCCTAATGCTAGTAGACTCATACTGAAAAGGCTAGTTGGCGAGACATTACATGTTGGGATGGTAACTTGTACTGAGGCCTTGATTTGCTGCTTCAGCTGAATATAGGTTGTTCAGTTTACAGTTCACTATGAAACTTGATCTGGTTGAAATCTCTTTTTAAAGAAAACTAGCATCTAGCTACAAAAGGACTTCTTCAGAGGTCATCCAAAAGAATGCTTGCCTGTGTTAAACCAGGCAGTCTCTAGTCTGTAACTTATTAAACCTATTTAAAGAGCATTCTTCCTCAAAGCTGTTTCTGTTCTCATTTGAGATTATAGTGAAGTTAGAAAGCTGTATGTATGTTGTGTTGTCATAGAAATGACTGTCTCAAAACCAGAACTATGACTCACCAGAGAATGTCTTCTCATCTCTAGCTGACTACTAACACTTCTCTCTATTAATTATTACTGTGTGTTCCAGTATACTGGGTGGGGTGATCAAGCCTCTTTGATTCTAATTAATCAGTTTTGTTGTTTGAAATCAACTTTTAATAGCCAATAGAAGGGTGAGAGGTAAATCAACTTTACTATAGTAAACTCTCAAGCATAACCTCTTTATTGCTGCCCCTCCATTGAAACTCTAAGGCTATTAACTGATGTACCTACTAGACAAAGATTGTATTGCCATACTTTGTTGGTCTGTGTAGTGCAGCTTTACAGTGAAGTGCTGAAAATAAAAATTGAAGTAAATATAGAAATGTGCTGAATAGACACTGACTTGCTGCTTCTCTCCCCGTCCTTAATCTGCTATAGGAGTAACTTTCATAAATCAGAAAGGGTTTTCTGTGAGTGGGATGGGGAGAGTTGGCATTAGCTTTGGGCTTAGTTCAACTTCTGTTAGCTTTGCTATTCACCTTTATGGCTTTGTCTGCAGTAGAGCTTGAGGTGCTACTGGGCCACAAACTAATGAGGTTTACAACTACGTTGTTAGCTACTCTGTTGATAAATGCTACCTTAGGCTGAGCCTAGGATAAACCACAAACACTTGTCCTGGAACAATATTTGAATTGTCTAGATTAGTATTTACAAATGTTAGCTAATTTGAGTCTGTTCCTAATTTACTCTCATTTAAAACAGGGCTACAAAGCATATAATAGTAGCTTTCCAAACACTTCCATCTATATAGCTAATAAAATACTTAACTGCTTTGTGCACGGCCTGTTAGTGGAGTGCACTACTGTCCCTTCACTGCCTCCTGTAAAAACAGGTTAAAGAGGAAATCTTTGTCTACAACAGCACCTACAAGATAGGATCTTGCTAATGGGAGTACTGTAGGAAGGAACTCAAATTCTGACAGTTACTTTCAGAAACTACTGAATTAAACTTTTCAGTACATTTTAAGAATGTGTAGTTCTCATTTGGACTAAACTTGATATTAAACATTGAGGTTTCTTTAAAGGAGAATTAAAAAAATAAGTGCAAATCTGTTGGCTCTTGTTCTTTGTGGAAAATGCTGAAACTGGCTTGTTCAATCAAGTCTATACCTGTACTGCAGCATGGAAAATCCAGTTTAGAATTGCTGTATTTGATGAAGATCTTTAAACTTGAATCTTGAAACGCCGTACAAGCTTAATGTTTGCTTCTAACATAGCAATGTATGATTGAGAGTTGTTATAAGGTCCCAAAATCTTTCATGAGAAACTAGTTTTCGTGATGGTGGCCTCCTTGTTGGAGCAAGGTCCAAGTTAAAGATGCCTCCAACAAAAGACAAACATGCTTTTAAGACTGTAGTGCTCCTATTGTAGAGCACTGGGTTGTCCTCCTGTGTGGATTACTGCACCTTACAAGATCTGTGTTCTCAGCTCATAAACATTATATGCGTTTGACTAATGACCTCTAGAAACTTTCTCACTCTTGAAACAGCCTTCAGAGTACCTTGGTATATTTTTTTGCAAAGGCGTTGGCTAATATTTCTTAAAGCCTATAACTAGGCTTGGCAAGATTAGACATTTTATTAGTAAATGTTGGTAAACATTAATTTTGCCATACATAGAAATGGGCAAAAATACTTCCATTGAGATCTACATATAGGCAAAGTGGGAAATGCTTCTCAAACTTGGCTTGATTTAGGAATATTTATTTTTTTGTGATTTTTGCGTTAACAGCAATAATACCTACTTTCTGAATCTCAGCTCGGGTGACCAGATGTCTCGGTTTTATAGGGACAGTCCCGACTTTTTGGGTCTCTTATATAGGCTCCTATTACCCTGCACCCCGTCCTGATTTTTCACACTTGCTGTCTGGACACCTTAATCTCAACATCTGCCATAATTAATTCTGAGCCCCATGATTTCCCACAACTGTTAATAAAAAAAATCAACAATGGCTTTTAAATAAACATAATTCTGCCAAGATTACCTTATAGACTTTGTGGGCTACCTTGTGATGTACTGACATCATGTGTGATAGGAAGCTTTTGACCAGCTGTGTTTAGGGACTAGGCATGCACTCTGCATGTCCTTGCGTACACTCCAGAGTATCACCATTCTTTGACAAGCTCCCACGGGAAGCTGGGGCTTACTTGAGAGGCAACTGGTAGCCAGAACTTCGCTCCAAGTAGCCCTGGATGTCTCTGATACAGTAGTCTTGTCTCTTTCTACAGCTATCGCCATGAAAAGGGCATCCTGGTTACAATACTCAGGGATTCAGAGAAATTCAAATAACTGAAAAGGGGAGACCTTTAAAGGACCATATCTTTTATGCCCTTCAGATGAGTTGCTACATGCCCTAAAGGTTTCTAGGGTCACACCAAAATCCCTGGGTATCTGTAAATTGCTACCAAGGCAATCTTTTTAGATACCAGGGACAGTTCAGACAGAACTTCCTCCTCATGAGCAATAGAGGCCTGCTGACTAACCTATGGTGAAGCCTAACATCTGTAAAAGAGCCCTAAATCATTCTTCTACCTGCACCCTGCATCCTCTTCCAGAGCAGCATGAGCACTCATGTATTCCAACAGCGTTCTTCTCTACACCCCATTTTTGGGTGCTACAGTTCTCATTTTTCTCTGGCATGGGCTGGGATTACTTCACACCAGTGGGTACTGGAGAGATGCCATACAGTCTCTGACTACCTTCAGGGACTGACCTCATGATCCAGCTGATGGAAGTGGATTCCTTCAGCTAGGAGTGATGGAGTAACTCCAGGAATTCAGAGGGAAGGGTTTCTATTCCAGCTATTTCCTAATCTTCCTCTGCCTTTGTCTGGCTAGTAAGATCTCTTATTGGTAGACAAGGCTGGATGGAGACTTGACTCTGGTTTGGAAAGAGACTAGATTAATACAAAGTGACTTATTCGATAGGCAAATCATGCCAGCCAGGCTAGGATATGATGTACAGAAAAACTTTGTACTTCTTGCTGCTTTATGATTTGTAAATAATGGTCTCTCTCACACTTAACGGCAGTTACCTTAAATGTGATATGCAAACAATCATATCTTAAATACCCTTTTGCAGAAATTTAGACTTCCTGGACTGTGTAGGAATAGTTGTCTGAGGTACAGCTGCCTGTCTGAGGTCCTGCCTATACTACAACGTAGACTAGTTTATAACTAGTTACTTACCATATTGTGTACAGACTTTTGTCACTATTTAATCATGTTCTAACCTGTCAAGGGCCTGGCTTGATGCAAGGTAGTCTTCCCCAAATCAGTTCATCACAGCCTCCATCAGCTTGTTTGTCTCTACTCATTCCTTCTATATTTGGCTAGGCATGCTTGAGGAATGTAGCTTTCAGGCTCTGT